CTCAGAGATGAATATTGAATACTGAATACCACTTTTGGAGCCAAAAGAAGTTTTTGAGGTGAATTAATCAGCAAAGATTCTTTAATCAATCAGAACAGCATAGTGTGAAGAATATGCAATTAGACATTCAAGAACTTTTCTTTTACATCTCAATGAAGGTATTTTTGTCATTGTGTTACATATTTAGATTAATAAACTACTCATTACACACCCAAATTGATACCCCAATAGAGAATTTGATATTATACAAAGCTGCATTCATCAATATTTTCATTAATCACCTGACTATAAATAAACCTGGTCAGGGTCTGGCAACCAGTAATCCTGACAGCATCTTTCTTAGAGTCATCCAGCAGTTCAACAACCATGTCTAATAGGCTAGCAGCAAAGTATGCCCTGCAGACACACAAATCGGTAATATATTAAATCCCTAGAAGATTAAGTGGAGGCTTACTCCAACTTGATATCATTTTACAAAATATAATGATCTGAGTTACCTAGCATAGGTTTTGCCAAACAATGAGAATCTAAAGCATTATATTACAGAATCAGTCTACCGGTAAGCGTATCAACTGCAATACAGACTTAACGAAGGGCTAGCATATTGAAGGTTGGAATAATAAAGGACTAATGAAATTATATGTATTATGTAAACCTGCAATCATTGATTACATGCAGCAGCTTGATGGTAAGGACAGCTCTATTAGTGATGACTAATATCAAACTCAAAATTATGGCATGCCCTGTCTGTGCGTAATTTGAAGATGTTTTAAATTATTAATTCTGACACTTCGATTGAAAAAGTGCCTGAAGAAATTAAAGAATAATTGTGGGAAATCTTAAACGTATTAAGGCTGGATGAAGAAGAAAGAACTAAGTTCCATTCTATCATATTCACGAAAATACTACAAGAGAATACTCTTGGGGTTTAAACTCTTATACTTCACCGAGATAGTTATAAATATTGAAAAATAATAACTCACATTTGCTCCTTGCACATGCAAAGCAACTTATTGTACACCTCAGCAATAACATTGATAAACTTGATGTGCTCACTTCGCAGCTCTTTGTAGCATCTTTCTTCAAGATACTTTGCAATCTGATCAAGAAAAGCATGTGTAAAGGCTGCAAATTTTACTGAAAGGATTTACATCCACAGGCAGTGAAGAAAGCCATTACCTTCGGGATTCTGAAAGGATTTTTCGCTGCATATTCACATAATTTCACTATTTTCCTTTCATTAGGCGAGCCATCCTGCATTCACAAGTTGCAGAGCAATTGAATGTTGCTATCACAAGTACCAACAAAGCAGATTCATGGATTGACTGTGGTTACTCTTTATATCTTTTCTTCTCAAGCATAACAAGGCAGTTATTCCCTCCATTCACTTTTACATGTCACTTTTAACATATCAACAAAAAGACAAATATCTATTTCCGTGTTTTACGCTTAGCATTACTTAATTCCCTAAATCACCTAAGAAAATACATCAATTAACATGGGTATTAAGGTAAACAATTCATATTAATTATTATTTCTGAATGAGCATGGAAAGTTCAAAGTGGACAAGTGAAAGTGGAGTATTAGTTAGACCTCAAGAAAACTGAAATCAATGTACTTACTGGTGATTTGGGGAAGATTTCAGCTAGCAATTTCTTGTAACGCTTAACGGGTTGTCGAGATCGAGACCTCATAGCAGGACAGCAAATGCACATGTTCCCACATGCTGGGAATAACTTCCGTGAAATAAATCCCATTTTCCTTCAATTTTCAGAATAAACAAGTAAAATTTCTCAGTGATAATAGGTAGAACAAAAGAACCCAACCAAGAATAGCATACATACACAACCTTACTGACAAGATAGAGAAGCATTAATCAACCTTACAAAAACAAGAATTGAACATTTAAAAGAAAAAAACCCAAGAATCCCAAGAAAAAAAACACCAAGAATTCCAAGATAAATAACACCAAGAACAGGAAGAATAGCCACATACACAACACAACCAACTCAAAACTCAAGCCAAAATCAAAATGCAGTAAAGAGAAAGATCGATCAACCAACAAGAAACGGTAACAAAAGTAAAAAAACTTCTGATAAACAGAGGCCAAAAGCGTGAAAACCAAGATCATTAATGACAAGACAGAGAAGCATTAATCATCCTTACAAAAACAAGAATTGAACATTTAAAAAATAATAATAACCCAAGAATCCCAAGAAAAATAACACCAAGAATCAAGAAGAAGCAATAACCCAAGAAAAAAAACACCAAGAATCAAAAAGAAGCAATAACCCAAGAATCCCAAGAAAAATAACACCAAAACTCAAAAACAAGCAATAACCCAAGAATAGGAAGAATTACAAGGACAATATACACAACAAAAACTAGTAAAAAAAGTAAAATTAACATACCTTCAACTACAGAAGGAGATCTTGGAAGTGAAAAGGGGTTTCAAGAACTCCAACAAAGGTTTCAACTTTGGTAGAAAGAACAAATGGGAAGTGAAGAAACAATGAAAAAAAAACAATTTCAAGAAACCAGACAACAACGAAGTAAGCGCGTGGATTTTAAGGAAGAAATCTTAAAAGGAGGAAAGAACAACATGGGGTTTTTCAAGAATCAAAGACTGGTTAGTAGAGTAGTAGAGTGGAAGAGAAAGAGAGAGATCACGTGATTGTCAGGTCACTTATTTGTGTTAAAAGAGACTTTTTTTTTTCTCTATTGTCTGTCGCCTCTTCCAACACAGGTCAGGTCCCCCTATATACATACCCTTTTTCTTTCCCTTCTATAGTTTTCTCTTTCAATTTTTTGAAATATAACAACTAGTACTTTTAATACTACTTCCCTTTTTTCTCCATATGACTGTGCTTTCAATGGTCTTTGTTGACTCTTCTCTTTGGACCATCAAACTTGATAGTTTAAGTGTGAAACTCATATTTTTAATAATTTTAATAATATTAATAGTTTATTTAATTCTGTCAGTATATAATGTTTTATTCATGTAGAATATCATATGCATGGTTTTTTTCAATAAAAAAAAGTGTATTATATATATCATTGAGATGTGATTCTCAAATTAATAAGTGATAAATTTATGTGTGAAACTCACACTTTTAATAATTTGGTTATGAAACTCAAAAAAAAACAGTTTAGGTATATTTTTGACTCTTTACTTTATTAATAATAATGAATTTATATCACTAGCTTTAAGATTGATATAATAAAGGAAATTAAAAAAATCAAATTCAATTTCATCTTAGTAAGTTATTGCTTAGTAACTCTAAGTCATTTCAATTTCAGTCGAGAGTTTAATAATTTTGAAAAAGAAACAATGTGATAAATATTTAATTAAAAATTTAATATTAATAATTAATTTTTTTATTACATACCATTTGCATCATAATCTTTTGTTCTAGTCTCTGTAATTAACTTGTCCCAAACGTAAATATAAGACAAAATTGTCCTATTTAATAGCTCAATAACATTGATTGTTTTGAAGTAATTGTCAAAAAAAATAAAAATTAAGCTAGTTAACTAATGACGACATTATATTTTAACCTAAAAACATAATGAAGAATAAAATTAATCTATTTCACATCATTAAAAAAAAATTGACCTCCTTCCCACTCTTGGTGGGAAAGAGGTTTGAAGGAAAGGCATTCTGATGGTCTGCAAAATTTTGAATTATGAGTAAGTACTTTTTAACTTTATTATATTTTTTGGTGGAAAATATATATTTGGTTGAAATATCCAATCAATGTTAGTACTATGTTTAATAACTTTGTAGATGAAAACAACTACACACACCTTTTTCTTTTCTGCAAAAAGTATATAAGATAAATAGTATTTTTAGTTACAACCTTTATATCCAAAATGGTCACTTAAACACCTAGGTTAACTATGTACTTTTTGCTTTATATTAAGCGTAAAGTTCACTGATTATGGAAAAGAAAAAAGTGTCTAATTTAAACAGTGTTAAAAGATTAATTGAAAAATAATGTTAAACAATATAATATAAAACAGTTTTTCTTTTGTGAGCACATCAATTGTTGATTTTGCTACCTAATAAAAGATTAATTGAAAAATCAATGAAAAGATTTAATAGTTAAATATCAGAGTTGTTCATGCAAAAGATTAATGGATTATCTAATAATTTTGTCAATCTCAAGTAAACATCAGTGTGAATAACACGTTATGCCACAATTGTTTATAAATTTGTTTAGCAAAACACTTCCAAAAACAATCAGCCAAATTACATTATTAATTAGATAGAGTAATAACTAGTCAATGTGCTATGAGGGAGACTTCTTATTTTAATTTAATAAACACAGTATGTGAGTGTGATTGTTCCAATTTTCATTCATTTGTTTTTAAACAATTGTAGTAATTTCAATGTTGGTGCTTAAAATCAGCAGCGGAGTTGTCACTTCATTGGAAAATTACATTGTTTAATACTTAGTAAGTAATTTTAACTCTCTTTTAGTGAAAATTCCAAATCCTGTTAAATGATTGCTACTAATCAACAACTAGATCAAAATGATTTTATACAATAGTAAAGCTGGAGGATATATAGCCTAGAAATGGGCCTCAACTGCTCATTGCCAACCCTATTAAATTATAAAAAGGTACATATCAAGAAGATGAATTGAAAGATACCTATACTATATTTACTTGAATATGGAGCCTCCTCAGTTCATCAATTCCCCTGGACCACAAATCTCTCTCACTCATTCCACCAGTATTCACCTATCACTAATGATTGACTAATTAAGTTGGCCATGCATATTTAGACCAAGTCCCAAACAACTCAAATGCTTACATTATTACTCCATTAACTTGTGGATTTTGGACCACCTTTATAAAGGACAAATAATAAAAAATCATTTTCTCCAGCACAGTAATGTCTGATTTTGCAGCTCACAACAGCAACTTTAAGATGGCATCCATAAGTTGGTTTCAGTCTCCTAATGTATGCTACATGATAAAAGTGACACCAATAGCACCAGAAGATCAACTCCATAACTGATGTTAATTTATAATTTATGATCAAAGTTTACAGCTTTAGAATTGGGATTCTTGGTTTCAATTTCTCAGCTGGAATATACTGAGTGTGCCTTGACATATTCCCAGGAACAAGAAAAAGAACTGAAGAATGACAATATTGAATATAGGCACTTAATCGAACGGAGTAATATTCAGCACATCATTACAGCTTACACAGACATTCCACTTCAACACGTTTAGACAAAAACTTTCATCCTTGAGTTCCACAGCTCAGCAGCATGACTGTTCTGAATACCAATAATCCCTATGTACCCACATACGCTACCTTTGCTATGGACAATGTCACCAAACACCGGATCGTCGAGTTCACCCTCAGCACTTCCATCCATGTTCAGCCTGATCTTATTGGTTCTAGAGGAGACCAAGAAAGGTTTCTTCTTATACTTTTGTTCACTCTTACAAGTACAAATTCTCAGAGCATTTCCACTCAGAAGGCACAAAGTAGATTATGTGTGATTCATCCCACTTTCAATTGAGCGGGACAAAAGACTGTTATCAGATATATAAGTGGCTTTATGAAGCTACTTTCCACATACTAGAAATCTTGGTAAATGGAGCATAGGCACAATGATGCTAACTGGATTGGTAACTGTACAATGAACAATTTAAGCTGAAGCCATAGATTATGCCAGCTGGATTATGCGAGAAGAATCAAAGATGATATGGAACACAACCATTTCTTTGCAGTTACCACATGAATCTCTACAAATAAAGTCCAAGTGCCCATCAGTATCAGGGCTGTGAGAGCTCTGTTCAGCAAGCACTTAGATGTTGAATCTTCTCACGTACTGCGTTGTAGCACTGGAGACTGCAGAGAGGCAGTTTTGATTTGGAGTCTCTGTATTTGTATGTATTCATACAAGATGGACCGGCACATTTCTCGCGAGGAGGTGGATAGCTGAATACCCAGATGAAACCCAAATCAACAGGTTATATAAATTAGTGATCAGTATTTTAATAAGAGGGAAGGGTGGAGGTGGGGTGGGGGTGGGGAGGATTTGAATATTAGAAAGAGGTCCTCGAGCATCCAAACTTCAAGAATAAGCATTAAGTCCTACAGATCATCACCTGCAAGCCTTAGGTTCAAATATGCTTGGGAGTCCCATCTCATTGGGAAATATCACAACAGAACCAGAAGGACCCATAACCCATCTGATAGCATTTGATGATAGTGAAGTAGCTGTTGCAGTTCTTTCCTGAATGCATAAAAATATGCACAAAAGAAAAATTGTGACGTATAAACTAAAGAGTATAAGTGCAGAAGAAAATTTAACATTGCAACTTTTAGCTCCTCAACCAGGAGATACTCTCTTTAAAGAGCAGCAGCTTCACCCTGACGATTTAGAATTACATGGAAATGGGTAAATGGCCACACATGATCTGGAAGTGGTCATCTAAGGATGTATATGGCAATTTAAAAGACAGACGGTGCAACACTCTTCAAAAGGAGTAAGGAGCAGAAGGAGGGAAGAAGCTCTTTTTGCCATTGCTGGGGATGGTGACCCAAGGAAAGTGGGACTAACTGAATGAACAAAAAGGAAGTATTCCTATAGATGGTCAAGAAGGAAGGGAGAAGACTGGAAAAAGAAAGAAAGAAGAAACTTAAAAACAAAAACATAAAAGTAGAAAACAGAAGATAATAGGTGTGCTAGATTTCGACCCAAAAAACAAGTGCTTGGGAAATTTCCAAAAACTATAAAGTAGGAGGGGCAACATCAAACTAAAAAAATTCAATTATTTACTTGTGTCGTACTCTCACCTGTATTAACTCCTCTTGTCGCTTCTTAATTTTATCTTCTCGCTTTTTCCTACTAGAATCTTGACTTAGGATTTTCCTTACTGCTTCAGCCTGCGAAAAGCTATATATGGTTAAACCACTTACATAGCTGTATGGAAACTATTTGGACAATGAAAACACATAAGCACATAAACTTGAGTAAGATGTATAAACCTCCAACTCTCGAGCAGCCTTTTCAGCTTGCATCCTGCGTCTTTGAGCAGCCTCAGCTTTCTTCAACTGCTGTTCCACTTCAGAGAGCTTCTCCTTTTGTTCTGCAACCAGATTAAGCTGAATTTATCAGCTGATCCTCAGTTGAAATATGTAAACCATAGAAGACGGAGAGAATACTCACTTTTAGGCGGTGCAGGTGGAAGTCCATGGGGAAACTCAATTGCACTCAAGCCTGCACTGCAAGAAAAATCTTTTCCAGTTTGAAGTGCTTGCTGGCGAGTAATCACGGCCATTTTTCTCCTTTCAATTACTGAGATATCAGCTAATTCCTTTAGTTGTTTCTTCTTCTTGGGTACTAACTCGGTATCAGAAACCATTGCCTCTTCATAGTCTGAATCCTGGGATGCTCTTTCAGATTTGGATTTCTTAATCCCTTTAACTGCTTTAAGCGAATTGTAATCACTCAGATCTGCACCATAAACATTGCTACTTTGACTTAACACCCTTGATATCTTCCGCTCTTTTCTGTATACAACTTCATCATCATCCTCATAGCCAGCACTATAACCAGAAGAGTATTTGGAAAACCTGAGTTTCTCCAGGTAACGGATCTCATCATCATCGTCATTCTCAGTGTCTTCATCATCGAATGTTTCACCTGATAAATGTCTTTTTAGCAGAAACTTGCTTTTATGAGCTGCCTCATATTTTCCTAATTGTTTCAAAGGGGCAATTTGCCCAGGTAACTGCTCCGTAGAGGAATCCACTTTCCCAACGCCAAAACCAATTTTAGCAAAATCCTTCCAGGGGATACCTTGCAATCCAATTGCCTTTCCACTATAAGAGGAATGATGTCCACCTGTATTCTGCTGTGGAATAGAAGAAGAAAACCTAAATTAGCCTCCAAAAGACATCAATCATCAGTACCTTGAGGAATCTAAACAGAAGTCTTTCTGCAGACTGCTGAGGAAGTGGTCTTATAGGTGACAAGTCACATTCTTACGGACTTAGTTGGTGATTTAATGTTAAGACATTTATCAAGGAAAAATAACATGCAAATTTGGATATTACAGCCATGAAAAGGAGAAAACTACTTAAAGGATCTAAAAAATTGCTGACAAATTGGATATTACATCCATGAAAAAGTGAAAACTACCTAAAGGAGCTAGAAAAAATTGCTGATGGACAGGCAACGGGAACTCTAGAAAATTTTCAATATAACAAGTACATTCAAGACAACTTAGGGAAAAGTTCATAAATAAGAAAGACCAGTTAGGTCACAGTGCATCTAGTAATACCTATTGTATGCTGCACCATTTCTTTAGCGTTAGACCAAGGTGCATCCCCAATCAGTATGATGCACTTCTAAAGTTTGATAAAGCAAATGTGTATAAAGGAGCTATCACAACAGAAAAATAAATAATGACCTTGGGTTGCCATTTTTGAGGGGCATCTGAAGAGGACGAAGACTTTGTTGAAGAGGATCCGGCAACAGAAGTGTTTATTGTTCTTGTAACACCACCAACTTTGAGTTTCACTTTCTTGACTTTGGTGTCACTCCCAGCTCCATCTGATACTACTCCTGGCAGTCCAGAATGGTTACTGCACATCACAGTTCCGCTTTTGGGATCCTCTGCCCGAGATGTTGTTAGGTCTCCTTCACTAAATCTACTCATATCTATCTGACCATCCTTTTGCTCGGTATCACTGGAACAGGAGTATCCGGAGTTACCACCTTCGACACCAAGCTCACCGGCAGCCTCAGCTTCACTGAGGTTACTATAAGATGTTCTTGAAATATTACCATAATCAGCATTATCACAACTAGACACTTTGCTCAAACTATCAGATGGTGGCGTTGACGAAATGGATGAATTATCACGACAATCCAGATTCAACTGGGACTCCTTTTGAGGCCGCCGATATAGATCAGTTCTCTGTTTCCTAAATGTGTTGCCCAACCCAAAACCGCTGAAGTTCTCCATAGAAATAGAGAGATTAGGCAAAATGCTAGCCAGAAGATTCTGGCGAAGTAACACCAATTTTTTAGGCCAAATTAAAATAAAAGACTCTAGATAAATGTAGCCAATAAAGTGTAACACTTCATAGTATCCTTTCAAGTCTAAGAACAACTTCTTTCCACTCAAAAGCAAGAACTTTCACCATGAATTTAAGTCTAATTTTAAAAAGGGAAACTCATAATAAAATATCGCCCTAAATCATCGTTATCCCTCGAAAATACATCAAAGAACCAAGAAAATAAAGCCAAGATTGAAGCTTTACCTTCTGGGTATTGTCAGGACCCTTGAGATAAAACCCTCAAGAACCCTAATAACATCGGAGACGGAGGTACGAGCGTTAACCGGCGGTGTTGCTGTATAGTTGAGAGAACCACGTGGCGACTTCCTAATCACCTTCTTGCTCCCCAGCCCCAGGTAGTCTATGCTCGGTAATCACAACCAAAATGTTCCTTTTTCAGTTTAAGTAGTATTATTTTCCTTTTAAGTGGGAATATTTTGGGATGATTTCAAATTCAAATCATAATTTTTAAGAAAATTAAAATGTAAAAGTTGATCCATGAGTTTCTTGTTTAAAAAGAACTCATTATTTTAATTTTTGCAAGAACTAGTTTATATTCTTATGAAATATTATTCGTACCACGTGAAAAAGATTATATTAAAGAATTACTACTCTATTAGTTATTATATATATATTACTAAAAGTGGGAATAAAAGTAATTGAAATTTGAAATATCATTTTCCCCCTATACTAGATTAAAATATTATAAATATTTAGTTATTTACATGCTTAAATATTAGTGATAATCAATTATTACATTGAGTAAATGGAGAGTTCATGTGTTCAAAGGAGGATACTCTTTCAGATTTTAATGGAGGTTCGTTGCATATATATAATAATCTTAAAGTTGTTCTCTTTTATCCCTTTGAAACCTTCAAATAGTATTTAATTTAAAATTTTATGATGTCTTTTGGTATTCCTCTATCTTTATCTATATAAATTCATCTTTTTTGTTTCATGAAACTCACATCCAAAATTATCTTTTTCATTTTATTGTCAACATCTAAGTATATGATATATCTACCTTAGTCTGATTATATATCACTTTACGAAAATAAAGTAATTTTTCTATTTATTCATGCTTTAGTTTGACTCGATGGAGAAAACTTTTGAATTTTGATTGGATATGAGAGAAGGTGTCGACAAAAACTTGGAAAATTATGTACC